GCGGATTTAATAAATTACAGTTTACTTAGATATTTGCATTTTTGTAGAAATTTCAGGAGGTTTGTGAGATTGCTACTTGGTCCTAGTATAACTGATAGTTCTTTATCAAGGTTACATGATATTCTGTAATGTTCTAACATTGGGCACTCCACTAAAATATGTTCAACAGTTAAAGTCACGTCACAAAACACACAATAGGGTTCCGGTTGCTGCATGATTAGGTATTCATGTGTTAATCTGGTGTGGCCCAGACGAAGACGGCTTAAGATTGTCTGCTGCCTTCTATTGGAGGTGATGGTCTGCCATGGACTTAGATGGTGTTTTACCTTCAATAGTTTGGCTGATTTATTTTGCCATGCATTGTTCCAGTAGTCAATGGTTCGATTTTGGTAAAATAGTTTCACATCTGATGTAGGAACTTTCTTGTTTGTCACTGTGTCCATGTTCGCAGCCATTTTTGCGTTCTCGTCAGCTATTTGGTTGCCCTGTATATTTTTGTGTGATGGCACCCATATTATGGTTACTTCTTTATTTTGGAGTGCAAGGCTATGTATTTCCATTTTTATAATATTGACCAGAGGATTATTGTTATATATTTTTGTGATCAGTGTAACTGAGTTAAGGGAGTCGGTAATGATGACCCACTTCCGACTGGAGCTTAGTTTGATGTATTGCATAGCTTCTCTAATTGCATACAATTCGCCAGTTAGTATTGAGGCTGTTTCGGGTAGCTTGAATTTCATTGGACCTGAAGGAGTAACTACAGCGGCACCTATGTTTTGTCCAATCTTCGAGGCATCTGTGTATAATTGTTGAGCTTCTGTAAATTCTCCAATAATACTTCGGAAATGTTGATTTACTACTTCGTTTGGTGTATTGGTTTTGTCGAATTTTGTAAGAGTTGTGATACTGGCTGGCTTGTATAGTGTCCATGGTGGAATACTTACTGGGAAGATGGGAAGTGTGGATGGTGGATTTTGTATGTTGAGTTTTCTTAGGTAAATTTTAATTCTATTCTGGAAAGGGATACCCCACAGCGTATCTCTATAATTTCTTTTAGTGGATAGATATTTTTGAGCCGACATATTAAGATTGCTGATTTTCTTGTTGAAGTAGGAAAGACTTAGTATCTGACGTCTGGTATGTAGTGGCGCTTCTCCCGATTCGCAGTACAGGCTATCGACTGGAGTTGTTCTGTATGCTCCCAGGATCAATCGCAAGGCGGTGTTGTGTAAAACATCTAGGGGTTTTAGAGTTGAGGGCTTAGCTGAGTTGTAAGCAACACATCCGTAATCCATTTTTGATCTTATTAATGCTCTATAAATCATAAGTAGCAATTTACCTTCTGCGCCCCAATGTCTATTAGATAAATATCTTAACATATTCATTCCTGCCTGGCATGATTTAATGATATTTGCGATGTGTTTCTTCCAGTTTAATCTGTTATCGAAGGTTACCCCAAGAAATTTGATTTCACTGGTATATTCCAAGGATTTCTTGCATAACTTCAATGGGGGTTCTTCGTGAATCGGTTTTCTAGAGAATATAATGCATTTGGTTTTCTCTGGGGAAAACACAAATCCTGTTTGATTGGACCAGTAATCAAGCTTGTCAAGATACTTTTGCAGTAGTGTTATATTTGTTGTTAAGTTCTTGCCTCTGACATAAACAATCATATCATCTGCGTACAGACGTGCTTGCAAAGGTTTCTCAATATCTTGTAACACATCATTGATTGCTATTAGGAAAAGGGTTGGACTAATAACAGAGCCTTGAGGTAATCCGTTCGTTTGCTGTTTTGGTTCTGATAGCACTCCATTTGACCGTACTTGAAAGATTCTGTTTTGTAGGAAGTTAGAGACAAATGATAATATGTTACCATTGTACCCCCATTTATGAAGTTTCGAGATGATATTGTATTTCCAGGTAGTATCGAATGCTTTATTAATGTCGAAATAGATTGCTACACAGTGTTGGCTGTCCGAGAAGGCTTCGTGTATATGGGTTTCCAAATCTATTATGTTGTCTGTGGTGCTTCTGTTTGATCTGAATCCAGCTTGTTCAGATATTAGCAGGTTCCTGTGTTCTAAGCTCCATAACAGTCTTCGATTTACTATCTTTTCAAGCAGCTTACACATACAACAGGTTAAAGATATCGGTCTATATGATTCAGGGAGTTGTGGAGATTTGTTAGGCTTGAGCACGGGAATAGTTATGGCTTGTCTCCAGACCTCAGGGAATACATGGTTGGTCCAAATATTATTGAATAAATCTAGTAAAAGTTTCCTAGCAGACAACGGAAGATGTTTCAAAAATATGGCTGGTATGTCATCGGGACCGGCGGCCGTATCTTTGAGATCGTTTAGTGCTTCTGTAAATTCAGATTCTGATATGGGCGTATTAATTGGTTCACTGTCATCTTCTATTATAATTTGTTTTGATTCTGAAATTGCCTTATAGCTTAGAAATCCGGCCGGATAGTTCTCGACACTATAATGGGAATAGTACGTTTTAGACAATACTTCTGAGATTTGTTGGCTACCTGTAACATTTCGGTTTCCCTCTTTCAGACATTTTATAGCTGAGTAAGTCTTGCCCCCGCATATGTTTTTCACTTTTTTCCACACCTTTGAAATGGGTGTATCGCTAGTAATGCTACTGACGTATGATTGCCATGATAATTTTTGGCTTTTTCTTGTTGTGAGCTTCAAATAAGCCTGTCTGCTGCGTAACTCCATCAACGTGTTGATATTTTTATGCCTCTTGTGTCTGTTGATAGCTCGTTTACTGGATTGAAGTGCTGCTTCGCATTCATTGTTCCACCAAGGGACTGGATTTCTTTTCCTGATGTGGTTAGTTTTCCCCATACTGCGATGTGCGGCATCTGTGATGACCTTGCTGAATTGTTCAATTATGGAATTAATGTCATCCTCGGGGAATATTTCTTGTCTTAGATTATTTTCTATATGAGTCGCAAATTGGTTCCAGTCTGCATTTTGCAATCTCCATTTAAGGGGTGGCATTGTCTCATTGTTATTGCAGAACTTTGAGTTAGTAATAACTATTGGAAAATGGTCACTTCCATATAAGCCTTCTTGTGTATTCCATTGTAGGTGGCTAAGGAGCCTGGGAGAACATAAGGTGGGCTGAAAAGTCCGTATCGTTTCTATGAGATGGCGCCACCAGAATAAAATCCATACGCTTCTTAGCTAGTACCAACCTTCAAAAGATGCCTGTCAAAATTTGACAGCTGTCGGATCATTAGTTTTTGAGTTATCGTATCGAGAGTGACGCTACTTTTGTTATTTTTGAAAACCATGGAAAGTCAAGAGTTTCGTGTGTTAATGAAACATTATTTTTTGATGAAAAAAAGTGCCGTCGAATGCAAGAAATGGCTTGATGAGTGTTATCCGGACTCTGCCCCGGGCGAAGCAACCATTCGCAAGTGGTTTGCTAAATTTCGTACCGGTCACATGTCAACTGAAGACGACGCACGCAGTGGACGCCCAAAAGAGGTCGTTACGGACGAAAACGTGAAAAAAATCCACAAAATAATTTTGGGAGACCGCAAAATACGGTTGATTGACATAGCTGAGGCCTTAAACATATCAAAAGAACGTGTCAGTCACATCATTCATGAATATTTGGATATGCGAAAGCTCTGTGCGAAATGGGTGCCGCGCAATCTCACATTTGACCAAAAGCAACAACGCATCGACGACTCTGAGGCCTGTTTGGAGGTGATTTTGCGCAATAAAACCGATTTTTTTCGCCGATACGTCACCATGGATGAAACATGGCTCCACCACTACACACCGGAGTCAAATCGCCAGTCGGCCGAGTGGACGGCTGCATCCGAACCACCTCCGAAACGTGGAAAGACGCAACAGTCAGCAGGCAAGGTTATGGCCTCTGTTTTCTGGGACGTGCAAGGAATTATTTTCATCGACTATCTTCAAAAGGGCCAAACTATCAACAGCGACTATTATATAGTGTTACTGGAGCGTTTGAAGGCCGAAATCGCCAAGAAACGGCCACAAATGAAGAAAAAAAAAATCTTGTTTCACCAGGACAATGCGCCGTGCCACAAGTCCATGAAAACGATGTCGAAATTGCATGAATTGGGCTTCGATTTGCTCCCCCATCCACCGTATTCTCCGGACCTTGCTCCAAGCGACTATTTCCTCTTCTCAGACCTTAAGAGAATGCTCACCGGAAAAAAATTTCACAGCAACGAAGAAATCATCGCCGAAACTGAAGCCTATTTTGAGGACAAGCCGAAGGATTACTACCGGAAGGGTATCGAAAAACTTGAAGAACGTTATAATCGCTGTATAGCCCTTGAAGGCAACTATGTTGAATAATAAAAGCGAATTTTGACGAAAAAAATATTTTTTCATTGAAACGATACGGAATTTTCAGCCCACCATTATGCTAAGATCGATAGCGGAGAATCTGCCCGTAGCAGCATCAAATCTGGTACTATTGCCGTCATTCAGTAAAGCTAAGCCAAATGAATCTAGTAGGTCGTTTACTAGGTTTCCCCTTGAGTCATTTTTGAATGAGCCCCATGTGTAGTTATGTGCATTGAAGTCACCTAGAACTATCCTTGGGGAAGGTATTTGTTGCAAAAGTGATTCTAGTTCTTGGTCATCTATGTGGTAATTCGGAGGAATGTATACGTTACAGATAGTTAGCTTTTCAGGAGCATCCAAAGTTACTGCAATCGCTTCCAGATTGGTGGTAAGATTAAGTGGGTTAGCAGGAGTGTCGCAACTTACGTAAATAGCTACTCCTCCACTGGCTGTTGCACTATTGCGATTTTTGAAAAATCCATTATATCCTTTAGGTGAATTTGTTTTAGATTCATGGAAGTGAGTTTCCTGAAGACATATGATATCAGGTGCAAAGTCAGATATAAGTTTACGTAGCATGTTTAAGCGTGGGTAGTAACCATTTAGATTCCACTGCAATATGGATTTGAACGCCATTGTAAATTATTAAAAGAAACTAGAATCTACAGAAGAGGTTTCGCTGTCGATATTGTCATTTTCGATGTGCCGTTCTAGTTTTTTGCGCAACCTGGTTAACCTGTTCTTCAGGGCTCGGTCCGATAAATGAGGGTATATGAGCAGTATTGTTTCAATCAAGCTTTTTATATCTACGGTGTATTCGTTTACTACTGATATAACGTTCTGGGTTCCGTGCACATTTTCTAAGAGACTTTTCATCTGGATAGAATTTAATACTAAAAGGTCTTGGTTTGTGTCTATAAAACGTTTGGCTGGTTCGTAGGCTTGATCTGAAATAACTGCTTGCTGGGAGTCTATTTTTGGTTTTTTCACTGATGCTTTAGCTGGCTTTATAAAGGTTGGTCCGGAGGTTGGAGTTGATGAGGTTTCAACATCTGATGTTGGGGTAACAATTGTTGAAAAACTTCTTTTGCCTGTGTTGCTGGCATCGTCGGTGGTTGCTACGGATGGAGTAGGTGGCATTTCTATGTTAAGTTCTTTGCTTTGACTCAATATTGGTTGTGGAGTGGATATGGTCTGTCTGTTAGGAGATTCTTCAGTTAAGATTGGCAGTTGTGTCTGTCGAACTTCGGCTGCCTGTGTGATAGTGGGTTCCAGTTGAATACTGCTAGACATGTTATTATTGGGTTTTACTGAGGATGAGGGAAGGACGGTATCATCCATGTTTGAGGTCGATGGTTGGGATGTAGATCTGCAATTGTTGGCTATGTGTCCTGATTGGTTGCACTTGAAACATTTTTGGCTGTCCAATGATAAGAATATGCGATATGACAACCCTTCATGACTAATCACCAAGGATTCTGGTATGGTACTTTCGGTGGGAGCTATGTATACTTGACGTCTGAAGCTGAGTATATGACTATACTCTGGAATAGTGGCCCCAATCCTTAGGAATGACATGGGAGATTGTAACTGGAGACCTAACTGCTCCAAGCAGTTTTGAATAATATTGTGTGGAATAGTAGGGGACACATTTGATATGACCAAACGATCCGATGGTGTGACTAATCTCCTCGCCTTAATAGTTTCACCATGAACAACGATTTTCCCATGGTTGTCCAAAAATGCATCGACTGCGTTTTTGCTGGATAAGTAAACACATATTCTGTTATTTGCTACTCTAGAACAGAATATGATATTTTTTGGCTCAACTAGAGGACCTAATTCGATGATATAATCTTGTATTCGGGCTCCATCTATTGTATTAAATATTATAGCCTGCTCCTTGTTAGGGTATTTGGATATCTGGCGGTTGAGAGCTCGGGAGTAATTTAGCGGTGAGTTGCTGTTTTGAGTTTCTGTAGGAATATTAACGCCTTCCATATTGTTAGTATACGTATTCTTCTGACTCAAACCTTCCTTGCACCATTTCCAGTACGGACCTGTCCCCGACTGTGAACAGACGTGGAATTCCTTGGAATTTCGTAGCAAACGGATGGTTCTAGTTTGTAGCGATTTGTTTATGCACGTACTTTATGTTGAAAACAAATTATTTCAGGATTCTGTAATGCAGTACTTACAGTCTGATGCTAGCTGTTAATGTCTACGTAGAAATCGAAACGAAAAATTAACTAAATTCACTATAAAATCCTATAGATTTACGGAGCACAGATCAGTAGCTGCTGAGCTAAACTGGGCCTTAGTTATTCCTGAAAAACAGAAGATTCTAGGTGAGCCTTGATATTATCAAATTATATTTGTTTCGAATACGAGACCAGATCTTAAATAAAATATAGCAACAGAGTTTGGAAGACTAAGAAGAAGAGAAATAAATCGAGCAGTGAACAATGTACAGAGAAGAGGGCATTTTGACTTCTGCTACGATTTACCTCTACTTATTTATGATTATTATTGTATCGTATCATCAATAAAATTTTCATTTTGTGTTCAAATTTCACCATACCTCATTATTTCCTTACAGTTTTCATCCAACAACAAACTCATGGCCAACTAAGCAAATACACTACTGAATTTAGGACTGAAATGTACAAAATTTCAATATAGCGTCCATATGGAAAAACAAAGTTGGTGTTGGAAAACGAAAAAATAAATGTCGAATTAAACATTTGACTACGTCATCTTGTAACATAAGTAACAAAGACGACGTGCAATTTATCTTGAAATCCCATTACGAATAAGGTAAGGAAAAAATTAAAACGATTTTCCGTCTGTCTCCGGAAGTTCTGTGAATTTCGGAGTTTCTCAGGTGATTACCTAAATACAGAACTTTGCCCCCATCTAATCGACTCCGTATCTCTGACAGTTTTCGAGATCCCAATGGTAAATGTGTTTGTAACACCCTGTATATGTAACCATATGTTGGCGTTCAATTAAATTGGATGTCTTCTATTTCTGGTGGGAAATGTTGATCAACGACGCTGTTAAAATTGTCTAAAAGGTTGGAGGTTCAACAGTCAAGTAATAAAGCACACAAGTTCATGTTATACAAAAATACAAATTATAAGTGAATTATTGCTGTCTCGGAGTACCATAAAAGTGACAAAGTCCGGTAATATTTGTTAAATATCAAATACGCAACCGAATAAAAACAAATCTAAAAACGTCAATTATCCGATGAATATGGATATAAAATTCTTCGATCTCGCAGCTCCAGGAATGCGTAATTTGAGACTAGTTAGTTAAAAGTGGAAAAATTTGTAATGAATGCAAAACTCGTGGTATGGACAATAACCCTCAAAAATTTATGGTTAGTTGGTAACGTCATTGTAATTTCATTAATTACAGAGTTTATCTAAATGACTCAAACTCAGGATCAGATGTCTAGGAAATCCTGCATACGAGCATTTACCCATAGCTCTGAAAGCTTGGTTTTGACACGCAAACTAACGAACTACAACAAAAAAAATGGTGTCAAGTAGATTGACTCTATACTTCTTATGCCTTCGTTGGAGGTTGGAAAGAAACATGATGAGTCAAATCGTTTCAAAAGGCGAAATCGAATCGTGATTAGGTAGGTACGATGAATCTTCGATCTCTGCATTTTAAATTATATATAAAGCAAGCCTATCACATTCCTGTCTGTGGCAGATGTACGGAAAATATGCGTGACTTAATATGCCTAACAGGTGAATAGTATCACTGAGATTGTTAGCTTAATAGTAGAAGGTCTTTCATTGATACCAAATATGCCACAGTTTACAACCATCTGCCGCATACAGCTTCCAACCTACAATTTTCAACCACTCCAAACAATTCCTGAAAATGAGCAGGAATCTATGAAACCTTGTAACAGTAAGTTCCTGCGATTTTATTTCCGACGTTAATGGATTAATTTTCAAAATCGACGACTATCTAAACTTCGCTTTACAGGTTTTCTGTTGCTTAAAGATACCTGCATTACACAAGTCCGTGTTTCTCATTTATGTCGGTTTATCAGTCCGTGTCTGTTGCATATCACTGCATCATGAGTTAATCTACTTGATGAAATAATCAGAGAATCATCATAGAAGAAGTAACACAGATTATGGGTGAGGCGAAATAGGTGGTTCATAAAATCCAGAAAAATATATGTGTACATATAAAAACAATCAAGTCATCATTTACAAAAGCTTCGCAGAACGCTAAAGTGGTAAGCACTTCTAATATACAAATATTGCTAAAATATATACATATTTCTGTAGCCGTGTGTCAGTGACGACACCACCGCAGATCATTTGGAGTTTGCTACCCATCACACAGTCGGCGGTGGCTTCCACGACGATGCAGTATCGCATCGTGCTCGCAACGCCAACGAAGTTATTACCCACTACAACTCCCAAGTTTCAACCCCTTCAAAAAAAATTCCGACAAAGATCAGGAGCTTCTGAAACGTCAAATAACGAAGCTTAAGCGATTTTTATTTGTTTCGTGTTTTTGCTTCTAGCTCCTCCACCACTAGACCGATTTCCAAAAACTACAAAGCTTTTCCATCCTTGGCATAGTAGCCATCTTGTGTGATTTCATCAAAATCCGCGTGGTACTTCTCAAGTTATATGCGGTTATTATAGATTAGCGGACAGACCGATGGACATGAGTTAGATGTTTTTCGTGATGTACACGTCATATATATTTCCAGGCGGGTCTGAAACCATAGAATTGAATCACCAAAAGGAACGATTTTGTCACTCTTTAGTTCCAGAGGCCCCAAAGTGACATGCCGCTCCTACAAACTAGCCTCCCCCCCTCCCCCGATCTTCAGTTTTTATGCATATATGTTTGAAAAGCCATTGTTGTTCTGCTCCGTGAATATTTTATACTTCGGCTGCTAGAAGGCTTTATCGTTTTGGTAATGGGACATCTACCTGTCCATTGCGCAGCACTTTGAGCAGTTTTAGGCCGGTAACGTAGGGGTCTTCCGTCATCTTTGGTCGCACGGGATGATGATGAAGTCAAACTTCTTAGCAAACTATTGGTACGTGGAGATCGACAGATTTTTTCGCCTACCTCCGCACAGTATTTTGAGTTTTCCAAATGATCATACCCACCTCCATGCTTTTCGTTGTTGGTCGTGGTTACAGATACGGAAAGCAAACATGCCAACTTCAATAGTAGAATATGTCAATCGATCATGCTATTCAAATCTCACGCACTTCCACCAGATTTTGTAAAGATCAAATCAAATATCATTATACAAATAATTAATTACATTTAATGGTTGTTGTTGTAAATTAGGATTTCTAAATAAAGGGCTACTACTACTAATGCTGTGATTTTTTTAGCTAATCGTGTAGGCTCTGGCTTCGTTGCTGCTTTAGAATAAAGGGTCTAACCTAACTCTTCGCCGAATTATTTCGTTGTTGAATGCATCTTTAGACAGAATTTATAACTGCAGTCTTTAAAAATGGACCCCTATAGCTGCTTATTCGTAAATTCCATTCTTAAATGAAAATACTACTCCTTGCATTATTACCCATGTTATACCGGAAGTAGGCCTAGACTTGGCGACAAATTGAGTAAGAAGCAAATTATGACAATCAGAAAAATTACCCAGGAAAAATGTACATTATACTAATTATAGTAAATATAGCAGATGACAAGTGATTAATGGTCACTTAATTGTACGAATTATACGGCAGTGACGCTATTCTCTGAAAAGTGAACCTCTTTTTGTACCCATTATCATAATAACTTATCTTGGAACAATATTAAATGTAAGCTGATAGTCAACCAACTACGCTACTCTTTTTTTCTTTAAAAAATGTTACTCGCCATTGAACCTTATCAAATTTATGGTAAAACATAATCCGCCTAAGACACCGGTTGGTCACAAATTCAAATTAAGAGCACCTTCCACCTTACTGCAAACGTGGTCCCATAACAGCTCGCTTTATTGCTGGACGATTTTAATGGACGTAGTTTTCAGCTTGATAACCAGATGAAAAATGCTGTTTCGGCGCTTCTCACGCATTTTTATATAAATATTTTAGAAATACTTTTAACCAAGCATACAATCTAAATTGAAACATGCGAAAACCGAGTATGTAAGCTGTTTAATGCCACGATATATGGCTCCCTAAATTTCGTCAAGATCGGTGCAGGGGTATCTGAAATTGCGTGGTTTCAAGATCGTAAACAGATCGACAGACAGAAAAACCGACCTAATTGAGATACAAGGTTTTGTATATTCATATTTCCGGAGATAAGGAACATATATTTAGGGTCGTAATAACATGAACGAAATTTCGTCAAGTAGATTGACTCAGTACTTCTGACGCATTGGAATGTAAATACTTTCGAAGTTTTTTTTAACCAAGTATATATTCTGAATTGCTTAAAGCGTTGCTGAAGGAGGATCATATACTAAGTGACATATAAATCCGAACACCCAGTTTAAATGGTTTTATTTTAATAAAAGTTGGTGAATGTATTTATCTTACTTGTAAATAACAAGTGAAAAAATT